GATCCTCCTGCCTCAGCCTCCCAAGTTGCTAGAATTCCAGACATACACCACTGTGCCCAGCTAAACTTTTTTTTTCCTAAACCTTTATCTTTTTACTATTGATTTCTGCTGTCCCTTCATTGTAGTTAGAGAACATACTCTAATAAATGTTGTCCAGTAGGATTCTAGTCAGTGAAAGAATAGTTCTATATCTGTTGTCCAATACAATAACCATTATGCGTGGCAAGTGAGTACTTGAAATGTGGCTACTACAACTAAGGAAATGAGTTTTCAGTTTCATCTTTTGTTGTTGCTGTTTGTTTATTTGTTTTTGTCCTGGGGATCAAATCCAGGGCCTTGTATATAGCAGGCAGACACGCTACTACTGAGCCACATCCCCAGCCCAATTTTATTTAAATTTAATAAATTTAAATGACTACATATTTGTTAGTGGCTACCATATTAAACAGAGCCCTGCTATCTGATTTCAGTCCTTTGAAATTTACTTTATGATGCTGATTTAAATCTTTATAATATGGTATTTGGTAAATTTTTATAAATAGATCACATGTGCTTGAAAAGAAAGTATATTCTGTAGTTGTTGAATATGGAGCTATATCTATGCCCAGAAGGTCAAATATGTTAATCATGTTTAAATTTTCTATACCTTTCACTTGTTTTATCAATTACTGACTATATTTAAAATATCCCACTATGACTATGGATTGTCTATCTTTGCTTGTATTTCTGTCAAATTTTGCTTTATATATTTTGAAACAATTATATGATATAAATTTCAGAAATGTGTGGTTTAGCATCTGTGATTTATAGTAATGTTCATTGGTTCTGTGTGCCAGTCACTGTGCTACATAATTTAAGCATGATTTAGACAATCCTGAATCATATAGAAGAAATTAGCATTTTCTTTGTAAAGTTTGTTTCTCAGTGGTTCACTGCTCATGGACACCCTAATCTTATCTTAATCCTTAGTTAGTGGCTTAAATCAGTACTTCTCAAATTGTACATGGTAAACAACAAGTTTGAGGGTTCTTTCCCCCAACCCATTGTGTATTACATGGTCCTACTGTGAATGATTAGTTGACAGCTCAGGCAATATCCAACTATCCCTGTTAGGTAAAACTTAAATTGATCTACACTCTGTTCAATGAGATAAGGCCACTGATCATACTCTTAAATGTCAAATACTATGACATTTTTTTAAATATATTTTTTAGTTGTTGATGTACCTTTATTTTATTCATTTATATACGGTGCTGAGAATCAAACCCAGTACCTCACATAGTCTCGGCAAGCACTCTACTACTGAGCCACAACCCCAGCCCAAATTACTATAAAACTTTCTAAATACTCTCAGTTTCTGTTCTTATCTCATGTTATAGTAACATTTTGTAGGCCAGCACTGGCCACAGACTCCATGTTAAGAGGTATTGACTTAAAATACCAGCATCTATTCTAGTAATCAAAAAATGGGAAATCAGCAATGCCTTGTCCTCATAAAAAACAAAAAATGTTTTGAAACCCCAGATGTAAATAAAGGTTTTTTTGGTCCATTCTAGAACTCCTTGCCTTATACAGTAATTTGAAAATGTTTATATTCTTTTTAAACCTTTCTGGCTTTGAGTAGTACTCTTTTTCGATTTACTCTTCTAGCAGTCAAAATCAAATATTTGCAATGACTGCATTCTCCATCTTCTGGTTTTGTATAGATGAGAAGCAAATGCAGACAGCACAAAATTAGATGCATTTGTCCTTTTCAGAGAAAATTATTTTATTTCAATAAAATTGGGTTTGACCCTTTATCCCTGACTGCTCTTCAAATTGTTTGAATAGCCTTGCCTAAGAAAAAGAAATGGAAAGAGAATGAATTGGGATATTAAATACCTGTTTTTACATGATTTTTCTACTTTCAGGTATCAATCATGGCGATCTTAACGACCATAACATTTTAGTAGAGTCCAGCAAGTCAGCCTTTGGAGATGCTGTATATCAAGTATCTGGGATTTTAGACTTTGGAGACATGAGCTATGGCTACTATGTGTTTGAAGTGGCAATCACCATCATGTACATGATGATTGAAAGCAAGAATCCTATACAAGTAGGAGGTCACATTCTTGCAGGGTTTGAAAGTATAATCCCACTGACAGCTGTAGAGAGGAGTGCTTTGTTTTTACTTGTATGTAGTCGATTTTGTCAGTCACTTGTCATGGCTGCATACTCTTGCCAGCTACACCCAGAGAATAAAGAGTATCTCATGATTACTGCAAAAACTGGGTGGAAGCATTTACAGCAAATGTTTGACATGGGCCAGAAAGCAGTAGAAGAAATCTGGTTTGAAACTGCCAAGTCCTATGAATCTGGGATCTCTTTGTGACTACATAATTAAAAATGAATTGATCTGTTAATGAATTGATGGAACGGATCAGTTCACTTTTAACTATGTGCATTTGAAGCGTGTGTGTGTG